AAAACTAAAAAAAATAAGAAACAAGATAAAGCTAAGTACATAAATTACGCATGCAAAACATTGGTAAAACTTATCATGGTTAATATATTTTTTCACTTTAATTTGTGCAAAACATTGAACATAAGTAAGTTTTCAACATTATTGAAATACGGAGTAATATAGAAGAGAACTCTAGAAAGAGAATGATCAATTTTTTTGAAATTTTAGTATGTCAAGTGATTAAAAATTTAAATGAGTCATATGTACAGAATATGACATAGCAAATACTATCTGAATTGCAAATAAAAGTTAACGCTAAAGGGAGAAGTGGTCATGTGAGTATCATGTATTTGAAAATCGTAAAAAACACAAAAGATTTTCGACATTTATTTCCCTTTCAAGGAACTCCCTCGAGTGTGACGGCGGGCTACCAAATTATAGGAAAATACAATTCGGATATACAAAATTTAAACTACATGAATATCAACCACAACTATTATAGATATAAAGAGTTACAAGTGGTAAAAATTTACGAGCACCAAGTGTTTACATCAAACTAATAGATTTATACTATGTGTTTGCACTTATATTTTTCTATCATGTCAATAAGATATATATTATTCTCACCTCCTTTAATCGCTTAACCATAATAAATTGATATAATATTAATATAAACACCTGATGCCGCTAAATTTTTATCTATATTTCAAGTTAGTTTCTAACGTTTCACTTACCTCTCAAGTTTCCTTCCTAAAATCTACATATATGATTTAAAGGGTGAGAGTTAAAACAAAAAGAAAAGAAAAGAAAAACAAGATAGTGAGAGCTAGAGTTATAACACAACGTGCTTTGGTGGTAATAACAAGTTTTGGGCACGTCTACCTTTTCTAATAAGGCAGTTGAACTGATTTAGTAGGTAAAATGTAGTTGGCTTTTATCAAAGGGTACAAGCCAATTTCCCTCTCTTCTCACTATTATCCTTACCCTAATTAAGAACATAAACTGTCCAACGCCTATCACCTACCTTCATCTATAAATTTCAAACATAAGTTCTTTTGTAACATTCTTCCAAATCTTGATCCCATCACTTTTTTCTTTATCAAATGCATTATAGTTCAACGTTCATAGACGCCGGCGAAGCGCCACCACCACCACCTCCGCCACCTCTTCCGCCGCCACTTTTACTATCTAACGATCTATCTCCGGCCAACTTCTTCATGCAACCTAATACTTCTATGTTGAATAATCATTTGCCACTGCATAATAACTCTCAAGTTGGTTGTGATAATATTGATTGGGCTGGGCTATTTTCGAGTTCAATTAATAATGGTATTGACGCAGGATGCTACGTTCATCGGGCTGCCCCTATTAATAATAGTACTGAGCCAACAACTATGCCAAACGTGTCGATAACTCCTAGAAATATTATTATGGAAGGCGAACAACAACAGCAACAACAACAACACGGTGGATATTGTAGAGACAAAGGAAAGTTTAGGAAGAGAAAATATGTACCACCTAGGATTGCATTTCATACGAGGAGCACTGAGGATATTCTTGATGATGGATTTAAGTGGAGAAAATATGGTCAGAAAGCTGTCAAGAATAGCACTCATCCAAGGTAAGCATGTATTCATGGAAATTTATTTTTATGTGCATAGATACGGTCAGACTTTTTTTATAATAGTATCATTATATAACAATCATTCACTGTAAAAGCAAAATTAATTTTTATACTATTTTATAATATAGGTTCTCTACAATAGCACTTTGCAAAAACAACCAAAAATGTTTGAAACAAATAAGGTTGTTATAGAGAGGTTTGACAGTAGATACAAAATGGTGATGAACAACGTATAATTAACTAGATCTAATTATGATGAACAATACGAAAATTGAAGAGTGCAAAAAATGATATATAAACTAACCTGAACTAGTTTGGAAATTGAAGAGTAACTAAAGTGATAATAACTTATATATATTGAAGAATTAAGTCTTAACTAGGGTGAAAATATCAAAGACATAAAATGCAAAGAAGAAAAAGAATAGATGATATAGTAAATTCATCATGTGTACTTATTATAATGTCTCTTCAGTTTTTATGTAAAATATTTTCTTACGAAATGCATGCATAGTTTATGTTTAATCTTTATAAACTATATAGCGGAGTATATGAAATGAATCCGATGGTATATATAATAAATCCAAATTTTATAATTAACTTTTTAAGATGTTATTTCAGAGATTATATATCCTTAGCGAACTTCGTATGCGATCTAGGCCAAGAATTTAATTTTACTTTTATGAGGAAGTAAAATATGCGGGAGTATTCTTTTTTTTAATACTATTTTTATCTTTTCCTCTTGGCGGATGAACCGATAAGACGAGTCATATATGAGTCTGCATTACTATGAAACTCTAATTTTGTTTTGCAAATCCTTTTTTGGTGTAAACGATAAATATGGTTTTTAAGTCTCATTCATTCTATCATGGTGTCACCTTTAATATTAGAAGCATTATTTCTATCATGCAATCCTCTATGTATTTCAACCATTTAAGATCGAATTCAATATCAACTCCTTCTTCCTTTCATTTTGCGTCGTTGTTGTAAAAATAAGTTTGGATCATGAGAATATCAAATGGCGAATCTAGAGTACAATATCTGCGTATGGATAAGATCAAGTAATTAAAAATATTATAATAATAGATAAAACTAAAGATAAAAACATAAACAATAATTTCAAAAAATAAATAAAATATATAAAGATATAATTTAACTTATTATATACTATAGTAAGTTTAATAAAAAATTAAACTTTTTAAATATTACATTATTTAAAATTTCAGTAAAATAATACAATTAGATAAGCAAGGAACAAAAAAAAAAGAACTAAAATATAAATTTGTGGAAAAATATAAAAATATAAGACTTATAATTAGAGTTACGATGAGAAAGTCGAACATATAACACAAGTTTAAAAAAATAAAAATATTTTCAGAATAAGAAAATATATATCTATGTTACATTAAAAGAGAAGTATCATCAAAATATTAAGTCAATTGACAAGTTAATAAAAAGTCATATTAGTAAATGTATAGTACTAAGTACTTGCTAATTTAATAAAGAATAAATAAAGAACAAATAATTTATTTAATTACTATATGATGCGTATAGTACATAGATGCCGCTAGGAAGAGAAAGGCCTTTGATTTTGTATAGATTTTGTTATATTCATGTACATTACATTAAATAATAAAATAACAACTACTAATATTTACTAAAATAATATGATATATCATATCATAACTTATAAGATTTAATATTCTGTCAAATTATCAGCGCTGGTTCAACACTAGTTATTATATAATAACTTGAGGTCGTATGAATCCTTAAGCTTCAAATCTGCCTATAAGAATATCCTAAAATCGTTTTAACAATCGACTAGTTTATTACATGTAGACTTAACATTTTCTCTCTAGCCAAGTTTGCATTTTTTATTTGTATGAGCATATGAGAATTAGGTTGTTCACCTTCTCAAGAAGAATGAGCATTATAAATTGTCACAACTTTGTCCAACTGCTATTCATACGATCATATGTATAATTAACTTACGTTAACAACAATGTTGGAAATAACTAATTCTCATACTTTGAATTCAACAGCATTTTATATATAACATTATTTCCTTATAGTAAAAATGTTCGCTACTCCTTTTTTGTTTTTTTTGGGTAACAGGAGTTACTATCGATGTACACATCACACATGCAATGTGAAAAAGCAAATACAAAGACTTTCAAAGGATACAAGTATTGTGGTGACAACTTATGAAGGAATTCATAACCATCCTTGTGAAAAGCTGATGGAGACCTTAAGTCCAATTTTAAAGCAACTTCAGTTTTTCGCCAGATTCTAAATATGTACTCTATTAATTATACTAAATGGGATATTATCTAAATGTCTCAAATTGAAAAGTAACATAACATATGTTGGTGTTTCATTGTGTTGATCACACGTAGCAAATCAAAGTGTACACTTCTGTATAGAAATGTAAATTATAATACCATACAGTCGAGAAAATGCGGATATATACTAATGTTACCATGTTATTTATTTATGTACGAATGGAAGAACTGCAGAATACAAGAATTTCTTGTAACTTTGTTATGTATTTACTTGACTATATGTTCCTTTTACCGAGATTCTAATTTTTTCGCTGACTTAGGGAATGGTAGTTTATCCTTTTCAAAAATTTTACTTGCTACTTTGCATAATTGAAATTCGACCTCGACACTTTAGCATCACCATTTCATTGACCTTCTTTTCCAATTAATCTAAGCTGCCTTCAGGTTGGAAACAACCAATTTGTTCTCAAAACATTTACTAGTTTTTTTTTAGGGGAGATTTTAACCAATCACAATTCGAACTTAAATTCTTGAATTTTGATTATATTGCAAATGAAAGAAGAGGGAGATTTAAACAATCACTTTGGACTTAATATTTGAACCTTTTTAAAGATCCGTTCTACCACAATGCTCTACGAGAAGCTTAGAGTCTTTGGTGTAGATCTTGCTTCCATTTTCATTAGCTTTGATTTGCTATTAATCTTCAAGAAAGCAAGAGTTCTTTCGTACTGGCATTTCCGCTACAGGGCATTTGCTTTCTACACGATGAATGTACATTCAGTTTTCAGTGCAATTAACTCTCTTTTCTCAATTTACTGTCTCTAATGCATTGTATCATTGCATGTGATTGCAACCCTCATATGAAAGTAACCAAGAGCACAGTTGTTTTGCCTCACGCCATCTTCCAAGCTAATTAAAGAAAGCACGACAATCATAAGAGTTTTAACAAGTGTTTCTCCTTTTCGTGCATACCTTTCAACTCTTTATAATGCATCTTAAAATTCTGAAGTAACTGAACGGAAGTGTTTTCTGTTAACAAAATTATCACCTATTCAAAGTGACTAGCTGTTCTAGAAATCATGAACAAAGTACACCAATCAACTCACAGATAGCACATGTAAAGAATATTAATCCTCGGATAACTGAACTAGGTCTCCAAGTTTGTAGATCTCATTTTATTTCGTGTAGAGGTGCTGGAAAGGAAAGCTCACCCAGCACCAAGGAAGATCAATTAGTGAAAATATACAAAAACTATGACTTCAGAGCTATTGATTTACATTTGTACTAACTGTACTACTAAGTAGGTAAGTGCTTCAACATTTTCGAACTCAATTACTTGTACAAGACATGAGCGTGCAATATAACCGCCCCGCCTCTATGGTGCCATCCCACCCCTCAAGAACCCAAACAGAAGATGAAAGTGGGGGGCGAAGGAAGGACAAAATTGTCTCTGATGGAAAATCGACATGCATATCCGTAGAGGTTCTGATTACCGTTGAACTGACCAAAAGTTGGTGCTGCTTCTCGACGCAAGCTAATGCACACATCTGACTGTTCTGGCTGCTTTGAACAGTATTTCCTCTCAGCATAAACGCTGTTCAAAAGGTTTGAAACTGTAGTAGAGATGTTGGTGAGACATCAACTCAAGAGCTAGGCATATTGAGCAGCTCCAGTTAACAACCAATGTGAACTACAGTAAAAATAAACCACCTCTCCAATCGAAAGCCAAAACTACAATAGAAAATTTAAGAGTTGGAATTTAAGTAAAGTGGCACAGGGCTGTCATAGCTGGAAAGTGCCCAAATCACGGCCATGTTGGGTGAGTTTTATTTTTCTTTGACCAACCCATTCTATTCTGTAAGAAAGATCAATATTCTGAAGCAGATGTTTAAATCTGTCCAGTTCATTCGACGCATTGTTCTCCTGCATGAAAGATAATCAAGAAATAAGACAGGACAATGGAGTAGCAGATATATTTTTGGAATTTGACAAAACCAAAGTTGTCTTGCACAAATCATCTTTGGAGCCATAAGAATCTATGCAAAACAACGCTTATTCAATAGAAGAACATCTGGTTATAAGAACTGTCTCAGGAGTGCATACCTTTGGATTAGCTTCTCCATCTTTACCGAATACACTTGCCATTATGCTTGATCTATTAGCATTAGGCGAGAATCCCTCCCAAGGTGGGACAAAAATCAGTTTTGTGCACTGGACATGAACTAGATTCTTGCTCAGTTTCTCCCACCACACAGATCCCGACGAGTAAGACCACCATCTTATCATCATCCCAGTCTCAGAAAAAGCAACTACCCCCTACAAGTAAAACAACATTGTATAAAACTTGTGGACGCAATCTTTCAAAGGTGGTATCATTGTGCACAATCAAGTGGATAATAAACATGCAATGCGAAACGCCTAACATTACACATTTGTTCTGTTTACAGCCCTTCTAATAACTTTAAACTCTACATTGACTCTTGTAGGACCAGGAAAGGAGGGCAACAAGTTAATGAAACAATGAAAATGTCTCTATCTCTTAACAAAAAAAGAAAAATCTCTTGTAGTGACTCGGATGCAGCAGTTCTATTAGTAGGGACTGGAACTCCTAATTGGCCATTTGCTAAAGGTACAAAGTACAAACCCATTCATGCAACAAAACTTGCACAATAACATTGGCAACTTTGCAATGATGAACTTAAAGAGGAAGATCATATGAAACAGTTCATCAGGTATTATACCTCTCCATCCGGTGAAAAGCTAAGAGCTGATATTGCAGTAGTCACAGTCATTCCTGAAGCTCCTCCAAGCAAACTGGGAAATCCTGGAGGTCCACTTGCATCTAAGACCTTTATTTTTGTGATGCTGCATTAGGGTTTAAAACAGAATCAATATTACAAGCAATTAGATGAATAATAGATCTCAAATTACCTAGGTGCTCTCAATCATCAAAAACAGGGCCCCAAAACCCGGATCCTGACAAGGCCAGGAGTGGAGAAGGAACAGATTTACTTTGGTTCATGTTAAAGTCTTTTTTTTATAACCGAGAAATCGCTGATGGCCAGTGGCACATAGGTGAAACTTGGCGGATATTGGCCCCGCCCCTTTACCCTTCTCCAAGTAAATATCAGGCTTTTTTTACTGCGGCATGGTTCGAACCTGTGACATGAGCCTAACCCACGCCTCACGCACTTTGTTAGAGAGAAACCAAGGGAAAGCCTTGACTTGGGATTGCACAGAGCAAAGCCTTGAACTTTTTAAAAAGAACTTTGAAAGCCAAAGGAGAAAGTATCAATTACAAAAAGACATGGATTAATTACAAAGCTATAGCTACTTATCTCAAAAAAGGAAGGTTTATAAAGCTACAGTTCATGAGAATAGAAAACTCTAAAATCGAGTATAGTATGCTTAATATTGACAACCAAGGATACTCAAAAGGAAGAAGAAATTTAAATTACAAAAACAGTCCTAAAACAAACAAAAATCTAAATGATGAAAAGTTACCCCAAACAAGCAAGAGCTATCAAACAACCCTAACAGTAAAGGGCAGTTACCAGACTGCTTTTCTTTCTCTTTTTTCTGTTTTTGGACAAGTGAGTGTCACCGAACTACAAAGTAGTTATAACCATATTATTTTCTTCATCGACCCTCTTTTCCTATATCAGTTCTTCCCTTTACAGATTCATATCATTCTCTTAGGAGCAACAGTTGGCAGAAAGACTGTTTCCTCTTTTCTTTTTTATGATGAAAGACTATTTTGCATTTCCTCTAATGAATAATCAAAAAGGATGTTGCCATGGTAGCCAAAAAAATTGATTCTGCAGGTTCTTAACTGCATGTATTCTCAGTTGCATGACAAACCCAAACAAATAATAATGACAATAATAAGGTCCTATGGAGCAGAATGACACCTGTAACAATTAGCCTTATTAACATATAGCATAAGCAGTTAAAATTAGTACTTAATCAAGTTTCTAGTTCTGTGTTCCAGCATGTTTGTTACTAAAGATTACTAGAATAAAGAGGGAAAGAAGCTGCTCATATGGCTGCCAGAATATTAAGTTGTATTGTTCACTAACCTTTGCATGTCATATACACGAATGCTTGCATTGTTAATCGCTCCAATCGCATCTCCAACAGCTAATCGTGTCAATGGATCATTTAGTGCCACCATAGGGAATATGCGTGCAATTTCCTTCAATGCCGCCATTGAATTTTGCAAGCAAGTTCTTCGCATGACTAAGTTACCAGGATCCATTGTCTGTAAAATGAAAGTGACTACCTGCAGATCTATCTAGGTGTTAGACATGCTAAATCTGAGAAATGCTTCAGTGCTAGAAGCACAATTGTCTTGTTATTATGTGGTAAATATCAAATTCACTTAACAGAAAAAGGGAAAAAAAGGGCAGCCCCGTGCACTAAGCTCCCGCTATGCCCTCCGGAGAAGGGCCGGACCACAAGGGTCTATAGTATGCAGCCTTACCCTGTATTTCTGCAAGAGGCTATTTCCACGGCTTGAACCCGTGACCTCCTGGTCACATGGCAGCAACTTTACCAGTTACGCCAAGGCTCCCCTTCAACATATGTCTGCAACCCATTTTTTATTTACTACTTCTGATGTGCACATAGCTAAGTCGTCAAGGATCTCAGTTAACAAGTTTTAATAGCTGCAGATTTTGGGGCCTATCAAGTATCATATGGGGACAAGGGTGTGCAGTAGATAAGCAGATATTGATACTAGCATACAGTGGAAAGTGAAAACTCTCACAATTTCGCGTAAAAGCGCAACAAAAAGCACCACATTATATGATGCTACAGCAGTAACAACTAACATCAACTAATACATCATCAAGTTAGTACTTTATCTCAAAATTCACTCAGTTTAGCAATCAAGAAGTAGCTGAACAAACCTTGTCAAGATATTGAACTAAGTTTCTTGGAGAACCACGTGCAACCCTAACTATAGTCATGAGGGATACCACATGAACAGGTGAATCAGAGGCAGTTGACCAGATCTGGCTTTCTATGACATTCAGAAAGGCCAATACATCAGCCATTGCTAAACTTGGAAGAAGAATTCCAACCAAAGTATCACGAATCATAACAGATGTAGATGGATTCTTGGAAGGTGTATTAGCGGATGCACCAGTGACACACTCAATTTGGAAGAAAATGTCTCCGATCAGGCGCGGTATTTCAGAACCAATGCATGCCTTCCATGTGCTTTCCATCCCTTCTGCCAGAATTTCTGCGGCAGTAGAGCTATATTTCTCATTCATCGCCATAACCAACTTCACCAATGGATTAACAGCGAAGACAACAAGATTTGGTTTCACAAGGCTAGGATACCAAACAGCCAATGCAGCAGCAACAATGATATGGGATGTCATTGCATCTTGGCTCGTTCCCCCAACACAAGAAATCCAATCTTGCATTTCAAATGATTCTAGCCAAGATCTTATTTCAGATTGCTCATCCTCAGAGTTCCCTTCGGTGACAATTTGACTGTCATCCTTCAAGCAGTTGGTGGGTTCTTCTGTGGAGACTGCATCATGGTTTCCACTTAGTGATACTCCATTCTCTTTATCTCTTGTATTATCCCGACGTAGTGGAGATGGTATAGCCCGTGAAGCAGCACAATGAAATAAGGAACGTGCTGCCATCTTAACATGCTCAGCCTCGTCTTGCCAAAAGCTCACCAAAAGCTTCAAAACAGAGATTTCAAACCATTAAGAATAGCTTTGCCAAGAACTATTAGTTAAACACTACACATCCTAAAGAACCAATGTATCAAACTGCTGCAACAAGTAGAGAAAATAACACCACCCGTGTGGCATGAGTTATAGCGACAATGTACTTGAGAAGTTCCCAGACTAATCACCAAGGCACAAAAGCGATAACCTCAACCAGCCATGTAACCTAGGCAACAAGCGCGGGGAGAAATCTACCAGAGCTAGGCAGATAGATAGACTCCTTTCCCGCTGTTAAGGGAGAGAAAGAAAGAAAATCAAATGTTTGTTTTTTAACCAGCGCCTTCTTTTGGGTACGCAGGTACTAAGAGTCCTCTCACTACCAACCAACAGACATCATCTTGCCGGTATCAACAAAGAGGAAGAAACAATCAAATGGTTTTTTTTTTGTGGGGGCTAACTAGTAGAGTTTTGGAGGGTTTAGCGATTAGTATGGTGTATCACATCCGACTCATAAAACCTTCTCGCAGCACTGCTTTACTGATGCATGGTAGCGTAGAATATGTAGGAGAACATACATTGTCGAAGGTGGAGTTGCTTACAACCACAACAACAACAACAACAACGACCTAGTGAAATCCCACTAGTGGGGTCTGGGGAGGGTAGTGTGTACGCAGACCTTACCCCTACCCCGAGGGGTAGAGAGGCTATTTCCGAAAGACCCTCGGCTCAAGAAGTGGAGTTTCTTACAACCAAGAAATATAATTTTGTATCGGTCATCAGCCTTGAATTAAGAACCTTGCAATTACAAACGCAAAGCATAGACAAGCTTTACATTATTTTTTCTTTCTATTACTTAGGCAAATTCAAAGGGACCTGCCTCATAAATCAGGCAGACTTTCAGATGGACTTCACTGACACTATAATTATGAGTTGCTCATAGAATTAACGAAAATTCAAATGGAGTATAAAAATGAGTGGTGCAGAAGAAAGAATTATAAAAAAAAGGAGTCTGAAGTCTGAAGGCATCTCTTGCCTCTCATGGAAGGTATTCAGCTATCTGAACTACTTATTAGATAAGGGCAGCAGAGTAGTTATGCACACACAAACACACACAACAAAATAAAGAACCTAACATCAAGATAATCATTTATCTTCACATGTACCTCAAGAAGGAAAAAAGAATCTTGATTATATTTTGATCGTAAAAAAGAATCTTGACTATATCCACCTCCAAAATCGAGTTCATCAGGAATCTTGACCCGCCCCCTCCCCCAACTCCACCAAAAAATGAAAAAAAAAAAAAAAAAAA